CAGCAGAAGGGCAAGGGTGAGGCAGAGTTTATCACGATTAAGCAAGCTTTTGTTTGTTTCTGGTAGAAACGCTGGCAGTGAGTGATAGCTGGAGGTGTGAGAGAGAGATACACAAAGGAAGGAAGTTGTTGAAAACTCACAGTTCAGATCTGGAACTTAACATGTGAAAAGTCTAACAATTCTGTTCTCCCCTGCAAACCATTATTTTAAGAAAAAAAACAACTTTTGTTCTGTTAAGCCTTCATTTCTGAAGTACTATAGCGTGTATTTTTCTATCCAAATTTTGACATTTTTTCCCCAGCACCTCTGATGTTACTGTCACTTTAAAATGAATCGCTTCTGGTTTAGTAATACACTTTGGATAAAATTTGGATAAATCTGCTAAATATAAAATGTAATGTAAATGTAAAACCATTTTCATACAGGTGGTCTGACCTTGTCGTAGTTGAATTCTGGTTGCCGGGCAAACCAGTTAATGTATCAGGCGCTAAATCATTGCAAGCAGCATATGCAAATAAATGTGGTTATCAGTTTATGTAATTCATTATTAGTAAACTCACTCTTTATGTGTTAAGCCTGTAAAGCAGACAAATTAAATAATAGTCTGATTAAAAAAAAAAAAATGGAACAGTTTATTTTAACTTTAGACAAAATAATACAAAAAAAGGAAATTAAAAGTATGTTTTGAGTATGTTGAGTATATATCATATTTGATACATCAGGATTTTATGGCACATACAGTCTGAGATATTAAGAATATGGAGCTCAATTCGAAGAGGAAAAAACACCTTTGTTCAGAGTCACAAACTGAGCAAAAATTTGCAATTTGATGCAGTTGCTGATTTTTGTATGGCCAAAAAATAAAACGAATGTAAGAGATCTAACAGTATAGCAGACTACTTACATAAATTGCATATAAATATCAGTCTCCCAATAATATGTCTTAGTAAGATGAGATTTAAATTCTTAAGCTCTGTAATATTTGTTGTGGGAGTTTTTCATATATATTTTTTTTTTGCCTTTTACTGATTTTTCCTCTTTTGTTTTGCTATTTGTTTTGTTTTGCATTTTGTTTTATACCGTGTTTTGTATTTTTAATTTGTTTTGTGATCTTGCATTTTTATCAATTTTTTCCCCCTGTTTTGTCTTGCTATTTGTTTTTGTTTTTTTCTGATTTGTTTTTGCATTTTAATTTACTTTTGTTTCTGTTTTGTTTCAAATGTAGTTTGTTTTCGGATTTGTTTTATTTTTTGATTTCACTTATTTTGTTTCACTTTGTTCTGCTTTTTGTTTAATGCAATGCAATACAATGATTGAGAGATCAACAAATAAACCTTCCTCAAAAGCCTGACGATCATATTTGATACTCACATTTTAACATAATTTTTCTAAAAATGATATATGGATAATCAAGTAAAATGAAGTTGCTTTAGTCCAGGAAGTGTTATATAAATATAAATATAAGTTATTGTTGCATGTACTTCATAAAAATCAGTAAAGATTTCACAGAAAAAAGACACACGAACCACAACCTCAAAATGCATGTCTTATACTAAAATATATGTACTTATATATGTAAGTATGAACTATAAATTAGATGACAGAAGGTATGTAGTACAGTACAAGTTTTGATCATGTTGATCATTTGCTTATCAAATACTATACAGTAGGCTTTTATAGGGTTAATTTGAACCAAACCTGTTTTGTGCGCACACACACTCCTTCATCTTTGTATCAGAGCTTGTGCGAATCAAAGCATGCGGTTCTACTCAGCGTGAGCGATTTGAATTGAACTCAATCTTAAATTGAGCCTCTATGACTGTGAATTCAGTTTTGAACAGAAACAACATCTTTCTGTCTCTGCAGGTATGAGCCAAAGTCTCCATCATTAGGCATGATTTCGGCAGCACCATGCAGCATGGCGACTGTAAGCCCCCTCGCTCCCTCTCCCATCAGCGGAGCAGTGGTGGCCAACGGGAGCCCCGCGGCCCAGTCTGCACACTCGGGATTCGCCGCCGCTCTCCGCAAGCTCGCCAAACAGGCCGAAGAGCCACGAGGTGAGCACCCTTTCTTTGCCCATCAGTCTTTATCACCTCACCCGGGATGCCATGCAGAACTGGCAAAATGCTGCTGTAGTCAGCAGATCTTTACTAGCAGTACAGCAACACTATTGCACTTATATGTCCTGATTTACTTAGAGGCAATTTCTATATGTTCATGTACACACACAACTAAAGATCTTTCAGAGTCGTTAGCGTTTTTATATTATTTAGATAAGAATCTTGGCAGATATTAAGCAGATGATGTGTATTGTGCTTTTGTGTTTTCATTCATTCATTCATTAGTTTGTTTGTTTGTTTTGTATTTTTTGTATTTTTAAGTTTGTTTACTGATTTTTAAAAAACTTTTTTGTTTTCATTTATTTATTTTTATTTTTTTTATTTGTTTTGTAATTTTATGTTTTATTTTTTATTTGTGTTCTGCTATTTGTTTTTTCTTTGTTTAGTTTTTGTCTGTTTTGCTTTTTGATTTAGCATTTTCATGTCTTTTTTGTTTTGTTCTTCTATTTGTTTTTGTATTTTTGTTCTGTTTTTATTCTGCTTTTTGTTTTGTATTTTATTTAAGTTTTTAAAATTGTTTTGTGATTTTTGCCATTTAGTGATTTTTGTGCATTTTCATTTATTTTTGTTGACTTTGTTCTACTATTTGCTTTTTGTTTTGTATTTTGTATTTTTTTCTTCGTTTGCATTTGTTTTGCGATTTTTTTTGATGTGTATTGTTTTTTTTTGTTTTTTTTTTGTTAGTTTATTTAAGTTTTTAAAATTGTTTTGTGATTTTTGCCATTTAGTGATTTTTGTGCATTTTCATTTATTTTTGTTGACTTTGTTCTACTATTTGCTTTTTGTTTTGTATTTTGTATTTTTTTCTTCGTTTGTTTGCGATTTGCGATTTTTTTTGATGTGTATTGTTTTTTTTGTTTTTTTTTTTGTTAGTTCAGTGATTTTTTTTTTTTTTTTGAATTTTCATTTTGTTTTTTTTCCTGATTTGTTTTGAATTTTTGCATTTTCGTTTATTTGGCTTGTTTTTGTTTTGCTCTGCCCTTTTTATGTTGTTTTGTTTTTTTCCTGATTTCTTATGTGATTTTGTTTTCATTTGTTTGTTTGTTTTTGGGTATTTTTTCTGCTGTTTGTTTTTTGTATAGTTTTTTTTTTTTTTTTTTTTTTTTTTTTTTTTTTTTTTTTTTCATTTTCATTTGTTTTGCCCTTGTTTCTGTTTTGTTTTATGTTTGCTTTGTTAATTTGTTTAGTTGTTTGTGATATTTGCTTTGTCACTTAAGATTTTTTTTCAATTGTTTCTGTTGTGTTTTGCCACTGCTTACATGGTCACTGATATATTATGCATTGTAACGTCATTACCATTAGCGTAGTTGCAGTAAGTCTTTTAAAGCAGCATGTAAACAAGCCCGCCGCCATATGTACGCGTGTAATATGAACAGCCATTCTTTGCTCAGCATGTGTATGAGTGTGGGTGGTGGTTTCTGTCAACAAATTGTGAATAGATTTGAATAATATTTGCATATGGGTTTGCAGCATTTCAGATTGCTGGCACAACATTTAGCTGCCCATCTGTCTGTGTAATTGTTAGTGTCAATGCCAAAAAACCTGAACACACACAAAACATTACATACAATATCAAGTTTTAAACAGTGTTTTCTACTGTTGTCTTGGCATTTAAGATCTACAAAATTGTCTTCTGTCAGAAATGTTTCACTCTTCATTAAACAAAAACAACATCGGCTGAAAGACAAGACATTCAATACATTATGTTTTGAAGAAAAACAGTGCAGTTTAACAAGCGTCTTCTTGAATGAGCTCAAGCACACATGGTTTGGCCGTGAGTTTATCGACATGATGCATTGTGAGTGATCATTATATTCGTCTCTCCAAAGCTCTGAGACAGAGAGAAAAGGATTATATTGATTGGTTAAGAGCTTGTATGCCAGTAATTTCTATAGAGCTTCTCTAAGTGTCTTTTTACTGCTGTCTCTGTGAGTTTATCACGCTGCGCATACGGCTCTGCCTCTGCTTGTCACTTTATGCCCTCGTACACTCTTTGACTAGGGTAATTCAATGACAGTCAATGCTCTGTCTCAGATTGCTAAGCCTGTTTGGAAAAGCTGTCTTTTGTTTAAGGCTTTGGTGGCTTTTCATGTGTGTGAGTGTGTGTGTGTGTGTGTGTGAGGGTGTGTGAGTGTGTGAGTGTGAGTGTGTGTGTGTGTGTGTGTGTGTGAGTGTGAGTGTGAGTGTGATGTGAGTGTGTGTGAGTGTGTGAGTTTGTGTGTGTGAGTGTGTGAGTGTGTGAGTGTGTGTGTGTGAGTATGAGTGTGAGTGAGTGTGTGAGTGTGTGTGTTTGTGTGTGAGTGTTTGTGTGTGTGTGTGTGTTTCATATACAGATACAGATATGGTGAATGTATAAAAGAATAAAGTAAAAGTAGATGTTTGCATTTTTTGATTCGCATCTGGCTAAGATGCTGTAGGTTGTTGTTTGCTTGCTGTAGGGTTTTTAAGGTTTTCGGAGTGGTTTTAGCCCATTGTGAAAAAGATGTACACTTTAGCATACTTTGAAAGAGCACTTAGTACAGAAACAATATATTTTAAACGAATATACTTAAGTGTGAACTAAATGTAATGTTTTCGGACACTTAATAACTGCATGTTATTTACAATTAAATGAAAATGTATTATATTTATATTTACATTTATATTAAATGCAACTTAAAAAATTGCTTTTTTGACCCACTTAAATACATCTTTATATGTAATTTCATAAGTCTCTTTGAAATATGCTTAAAAGTGTTACTGCTGAATGGACTGATAAGCATTTATGGTAAACTGCAATATACTTTAACATGCATGTCATTTAAATATGTTTGCATTTTTGTTTGATGTTATTTTTTGTGATGTTATTTTTATCATTTTTATTTATTTATATATATTTTTTGCATTTTCATTTATTTTCGTTTTGGTTTGTTCTGCTATGTTTTGTCTTTTTTTTATTTGTTTTGTGTGTGAGGGTTCTGCATTTCTTTTTTGAACTGTTATTTTTTGCTATTTATTTTATTTTGCATTTAGTTTTTTATTTTGCATTTTAATTTGTTTGCTTTTGTGTATTTCTTTTGCATTTTGTGTGTTTTGTGATGTAATTTATATATATTTTTTTGTGTTTTCATTTATTTTTGATTTGTTGCTCTTTTTATATTTGTTTTGCTTTTGGTGTTATGTTTTTTTCTTATTTGTTTAGTTTTTTTTTTTCATTCATCTTTGTGTTTTTTGTCTTTTTCCTGATTTGTTTTGTGACTGCATTTTTTCTTTTTTTTGAAAAATGGTTAAATTGTACTGACGGATGTACTGACAAGCATTTATGATCAACTAAAATATACTTACATTTGTATGTCATGCAGTGAATTATTTGTAATTACACATTTGTTATCATTTAAAATATTATCAAATGACACACTACAGTTAAAATTATAATCATGTACTTTACACATGCTTTCGTATGTTAGTCAACACATCAAAATAAGTATTTTCTTTAAAACGCAATAAAGGATTGTTAAAAAACTGATTTAAAAAAAGTGCACTCAAAAGTGTACTTGAGTGTGTTAAGAAATAAATAATGAAACTGTCTCTCTTTAAGCACACTTAAGTGGCCTTTTATTTTATTACTATTACTATATGCGATTACAGTTTTTAAAAAATATACTTTTAAGATTTAAAGTACACTACAAGTGAACATTTAATAAAATGAAGCGCTCTTCTTGCTATCAGGTGTTGTTCATAGATGCTGACTCAACAAGTATCAACTTTCTAGTTTATAAATATGGCCTTCAATGGAAGTCTAGGGGATTTCTCACCTGTTTTATTGTGATATATCCGTTATATCGCATGATATGAGGTATCATACACGCCTGTAGCATAAACAGTGTGGGATGAGTTTCTTTGGCTTTTGAAAACCCCTAACCACGAGTCCTGCCGACAGTAATAGCGCCGCTTCCCTTTGTATGAAGCACTTAGTATGAGTTGTCAAAGCTTTCTAGGTTGAAATACATCAGATATGTGAAAAACTAAAGTAAAATTGACCACAGAAGGAGTGAAGTATAGGAAAGCGTGAGTCTTGAGTCGTCTTATGAGCTCTCGGGCAGACAGCGGCGCTCTGAGGAGGCCTGACCTACTTTACTCTTTGTGTTGGGTGTCTTATTTAGATACTTCTTTTAGCGGCTGTGGGGCTTTTCTGTGCTGTGTGGCTTTCAAGCTTTGTGTAGGTTTCTGGCTTAATAAGGAAAGTCATTTCTCACACGCACTCGCTGCAATCGAAACCGCAAGAAGTGCATATTATGGAGGGAATGGTGAACAGTCTGCCGTTGATTATCAGCCGCAGGGCGAGCAGAGCTTGTGTCTGGATGCACGTTATCCTGCTTTTTACATGGCTAGGTGCCAGATAGATGCATGTATAGATCTGAACTATTGATTGCAATCTAAGATGTTTCATTATCTACCACCCCGCTTTGAAAATCCCAATCTAAACCATTATAGAAATAATCTGCCTAGCAACTAGAATGGTGTTACAGTATTAATAGATTAATGCATACAGCATGTTACATAAGTTGTGTGTTTTCCTCTCATCCAGATTTTTGTGTCCTTCCCTGGCACTTTCTTCTTCTAAGTGACATTTTCGTTTTCTTGCTTCTAGTCATCGCTCAAAAGTTTATGCTTGCTATGAAATAAATACTGAAGTCCTCCAGGGCTGTTTTCACTGCAGATGGCAGCTAATGGTTTTGATTCATAAGATGGCAGCAGTTAATATAGAATTTGATTTGATTTATTAGTTTCATTTTATTTTAATATAGAATTTGATTTAATGTGAAAGTATAGAAAGACTGCAGAATGACATGAGAGATGAAAGTATTTTGATATATTCTATTCAATTTTAATATATTCTAATATATTATTACATATATTGTTATATTTTATATTAGTTAAAATATATATATATATTTGTGCTGTCAAACGATTAATCGCAATTAATCGCATCCAAAATAAAAGTTTTTGTTTACATAATATACTGTATGTGTGTACTGTATATATTTATTATGTATATATAAACACACACACATGCATACATAATAAATATACACAGTACACACAGATATATTATATAAACAAAAACTTTTATTTTGGATGCGATTAATCGCGATTAATAGTTTGGCAGCACACACACACACATATATATATATATATATATATTTCTTCATTTTTCTTTCACCATTGCTCAACTCATGTCTTATTTAAATTTCCATAATTTAATATATAGAATATAACATTTGTCTAATATTTAATTAAATAAAATTGAATTTATATATACAATAATTTTGCATTTATATTTGATAATATGTGGAAATAATTGAATTTTTAAAATCGTATTAATTTTATTAAAAATTTATATGATTTATTTAATTACATCTAATTAATTTTAACTTAAATTAATGAATGAAAATGAAAATGATTTTTTAATATATAATTTTAATATTATGTATTATATGAAATTAAAACAATGTTTAAATAAATAAGTTATATATGATGCTATTAATACACAAACAAACAAACAATTGTAATATTTCATCTTTTTTTTTTCAAGATTTCTCCTAACTCAGGTTCCATTTCTAGCCATTGCATGTTTCATTGCATGTTTTCTCCCCAGTAAAATAATTATGCTAATAAATGTATATTTGATAATATATAAAAATAAATGATTACATTTACATCTGATTTATTTGTATATAATTAATATGATTAATATGAGAGGGATAAAAGCAACCACACTGGTGCTGGTGTGGAAAGCAGTGAAATAGGGGTGAATTCAGGTAAATTGGGACACTTTTTGTCATTGAGATGACTGGGAAAAATGTCCCACTTAACCTGAATTCACTCTATACTATTTAGCCAACGTTATACAAACATGTTTGAGCGCTTAATGCTGATATCAACCAATCCCAATGAAGTATTCTGGAGCTCTGAGTAATAAATAGTGATATAATGTTCACGTTAGGTTTCTCTCTTTATTCATTTGGTTGTGAGACACAAAGACTGTCTTTGTTTTGTAGTCTGGAGTGTCATGGACTACTCAGACGTGTGTGTGTGCTTGCTTACACACACACACACTCTCACACACTCAAACGGTGTTTGATCACAGTAAAGCGCTGATGAGTGTGTGTCTGTGTTCATGTGTGTTTAGCGCTGGGAGATGGCAGTGTTTGTTTCTTTCTCTCTTTAAATTATTATATTTATTTCTATTAATGTAAATAAAATAAATAAATGTGACAAAATAAAATAGAATAAAATATTAACTCATTTATTTTTTCTATTTTCAAGATTGCTTTACTGTCTTATATTTAATTAAATTCAGTTGATATGGAAAGTTATATTTATAGATTGATTTGTATTTGATAATATGAATTTATATCTAATATCTAATTTATTTTAATGATTAAAATGAATGATTTCTATGAATTAATGATATATTATGTTATTTAAAAATAAATAAATAAATAAGAAATACATTCAAATAAAATATTTATTAATGTTTTTTCTCTGATTTCTCCTATAACTCCTCTGTCTTCTCTTTCGTGTGCTTGCTTACACACACACACACACACACTCACACACTCAAACGGTGTTTGATCACAGTAAAGCGCTGATGAGTGTGTGTCTGTGTTCATGTGTGTTTAGCGCAGGGAGATGGCAGTGTTTGTTTCTTTCTCTCTTTAAACTGGCGTCTGATCTGACAGCCCAGAGGGGTCTTTGATAGCGGCGAGGCTGGCAGTCAGGGAAGTGACGATGCATGTTCACTTCATCTGACAAGTTGTTAGTTCAGTCTGGCATGCAAACACACATAAATACATCCCTTGCTTTGCCACTTCTACTGGTCTAGATAGTCTGTCGCTGCCTCTGATGTTATTATACGGCTCTCTCAGAAACTACTCTTGTTGAAACCTTGGTTTAGCAGTTAGCGCATGAACGCCAGGCTGTTTGAGCTGGGAGATGCAAACCCAATACGTTTGTTTGATTACTAAAATATTTATGATATTATTTATTTATTTTTGATAATATATGAATATAAATTCATAAATTTACATCGAACTTATTTGAATATAAACAAATCACTTATTTTATTTTAATATATGCTTTATTTTAATGTATTATACATGTTTCCTCTCCGGTGACCAATCACATTTCTCCTGTGAGTACACCTAAGCGGGTTGCCATGGGTATGAGCCTGGGCCCGCCCACGGGCTCCCCTCCTGTGGTCACCATCGCCCCGACTAAAACCGTCAATGGCTTCTGGAGGTCTGAGGGGCGCCAGGTACAACAGAGTCTCTGCCTTAGCATACATTCTCTAGACCAGTGGTTCCCAATCCTGGTCCTGGAGGACCCCAACACTGCATGCATTTGATCTTTCTCCAATGTGTGTCAGATAAGAGAAAGATCAAAA